GATGATCGGCGAACGACGGCGACGAACGACGACGACGTCGACGAGCGACGAGCGACGAGCAACGCGAGGGGGCGAGGACGAGGACTGTCGAGGAACGGCCCACGACGACACGTACGGGTGACGAGCGGCGAACGTCGAACGACGCCGCACACGCGGGCGTCTCGTGGCGCGACCGCCGCGCAGGGGTCAGGCGGGGTGCCCGCGCGAAAAAAATGGACACGAGTTCCCGGGGGCCCGGAGGCCGCGCAGGGGTTCATCGGGGCGCGGTGTTCGCGGGGGGGTCGGAGCGCGGCGCCGAACGGCCTCCTCGCGCGACAGCGCGGCGCCCGCGCGCGCAGGGACGGACGCGCGCGCAGCATCGACGCACATCTCGGAGCGCAGATCCTCGCGCCGGGGCCGGCGCGCAGCGCCAGGAGGACTCCTCGCGCGACTCGAGCAGCGCTCGAGCGCGCGGGCGAGGACTCGCGCGTGGCGCCGCCAGCGGCCTCGGCGCGCGATTCGGGTCGGCGAGCGGCGCCGAGCAGCTTCCTCGCGCGACTGGGTAGCGCTTGCGCGCGCAGGAGAGGGCTCGCGCGCCGCGTCGGCGACGGTCTCGGAACGATATTTCGCGCGGGGGTCGGCGCGCGGCGCCATGCAGCTTCCTCGCGCGAGTTGGCAGCGCTCGAGCGCGCGGGGAAGGCTCGCGCCGTGGTCTCGATTCGCGAAACTGATGGTGCCTTGCTGCAAGACTGGACGAGTGTTCGCGCGCCGATGTCTCTGCGGATACGCCGCATCTGCGGCCGCGTCGCTACGCGGCCGCCGCGCGGGGCGGTGGTGGGGGGCTTGCAAGAAGAGGAATTAAAGTACTTTCTCAGGTTTTGCCGGGCCGCGTCGACTGGGGCTTCTCGGGAGCTTTCTGTCGCTTCTTGGGAGCTCACGTGGCTCCCCTCGGGCTTTCTGGGGCCCTTCTGGGCCCTTTGGGGCTTCCTGGGGTCTCGTGGGCCGGCTGAGGTTCCCTGGGGCCTCTTCGAGCGTGCTGAAACGTCTGGGAGCGCCTGGGGGCGTCGGGGAGCGCCTGGGGCGCTTGGGGAGAGGCTGGGGGCGCCCGGCGGCGCCTGGGCGCTCCCGGAGTATCTGGGGGCGCTCCGGGGCGCCTGGGATCGTCTGGGGGCGTCTGCTCCTGAGGCGTCTGGCAGCGCGCCGCGTGCGAAAGGGCATCTGCGAGAGCGTTTTCGGGGTTCGCCATAATGCACCGCGCGCTTGCGGGCACACGCGAGAGCGTCCTCGGGGCGCGCCAGACAGCGCCGCGTGCGAGGGGACTCGCGCGGAGACAATTCTTGGGCGCGCCGGATCGCACCGCGTGCGAGCGGGCACGCACGGGAGCGCCCTCGGAGCGTTTGGGGCCAGGCGCCGCTCATCGTCTGGAACCTCCACAACATGATTTTAAGCTCGCGCGGCCTCTCGCTCGCTCGCTCGCTCGCCCGTGCATCCGGTGGGGCGCGTTGGCAAACTCAGGTTGCGACGTTGGCAACCGAACGGAAAACATGAACTGCAAGTGTACAATGAGCGCTGCAAAACTAAGAAGGGGGAGGGGGGGGAGGAAGGCGAGATTGCCTCAGACCGTACACTGAAGAAGCCCACTGCTGTCGAGGCCGGCCTCGTTGTCGATGTAGCGCCCAACACTTTGGTGACCCATCTGGCTCGCATACAACTTGTTGCACCAAGGAGGGATGCCCACTTCTGGAAATCTTGAGGTACGCCTTTCCTGCCTGTCCAGAAGAACATCCGACAGAGGTTTCGCGCCAGCTCTCTTCAGAATGTCTGCGTTGCTAACTTTCGAGATGAACGAAGGAGGTACGCCGACAATGCGTCGTAGACACCTGCAGTGGAAACCATCAAGGCGCGCCCTGTCTGCTTTCAGTAACCAAACTGAGTCCAATGAGTATAGCAGCTTGCTCACCAAACAACTTGTGTAAATACTGTGCTTTCGCCGTTATCCAATCGAGGCGTGGCTCCAGAGCTTATCCAACTGCTTGAACTTCTTTGTACATTATCCTAGTCTCCGCGTCAGTTCCGTGGCAACTTTCCCGTCGCAGGTAATCAGTCACCCTAGGTAAACAGCTTCGCGGACGGACTTGATTGCGCCCCCGTCTGGTCGTGATATTACGTTGTGTGTTGATATTTGAATGTGTAAAGTTTTGTCCCAGTTCAGTTCCAAGCCGTATTTCTTACCTTCTGTAATAATGGCCAAGAGCATATCTTCCATATTTTGTTTGTGACGCGAAAGTAGAAGTGTATCGTCGGCGTAAAGGATATCGCGCGTCACGACATATGCCGGATCTTCTTGTAGATCGAGTTGGCCAAACGCATCATACAGCATCACGCTCTGTACGATGATGAACAAGTATGGTGATAAAGGGCACCCCTGTGCTATGCCAGCCCGCTGTTGTCTCTCAGTGGAAGAGCCTGTATGGTCCAATATAGTGAAATATCTCGCCTCATAAATTGATCTAATCATGGCCACCATATCTGCTGGAATACCAACACGACCCAAAGCGTCGCACATGCAGTCTGGCTTGATCCTGTCGAATGCTTTGGCCCAGTCCAGCATTGCAAGAATTATACCACCATTTTTGTCTTGGTACGCTGCATCGATGACGCGCCGGACCAGCATGAGCGCATCTTGAGTGCCCCTCCCTGGTCTGAAGCCGTACTGAGAGTTTCGTAGTCGACGTTCTGCTCCGCCGTGTAGAAGCCTTCGGTGAAGTAGTGCTGCAAGAACTTTGTAACCCACTGGAAGTAAGGATATGGGCCTGTAGTTCGCCGGCAAAAGAATATTCCCCTTTTTGAATAATAGTATCACGTTCGCGCGTTCCCAAATTTCTGGAATGGCCTTTTAACACTTCTGGCACATGTCGAGCAAAACGCCGTACGCGGTTGTATCATATCCAATACTTTCCAAACATCCGGAGGTACATCATCTGGGCCGGCGGCTTTTCCTTTCTTCAGCTTCTGAAGTACAGCTTGAAGTTCTTCCATCGTGAATGCGCTGGTGTTGACAGGAAGTGCGTTGCCCAAGTGCGCATGGTGATTCGGTCTTGTCTCTGGGACTTTGTACTCCCACTGTACGTGTTCAAAATAATATGCCAGTACGTGTGCTCTTTCAGATGTGTCCGCCACGGTCCCGTCAGTTTCTTGCGGATTTGTTTGTTCAGTTTTTGCTCGTTCTTGTAGTCCCCGGCTCGACGGCAGGCATTCCGTTCTGCAATGAGTCCCAAAGTACCCTGACTCGTCCAAGGGCGCCTCGCCCGGATCACCTGGGCAGGCAACGCTGCAGCAGCCTGCGAAAAAGCATGCTGTAGATTCTTTGAGGCGGTTTCCAAATCGGCCGTCTGTTCTTGATGCAAAACTGCGTTGATGAACTCCCCCGCAAATCTTCGCTCAATTTCTGAATCAGCTAAGGCTGCTTTGTCGAATGAGTGCTTCTGCTCTCTCTGCACCGTTTCGAACTCGATGTTCAGCTCAGCAATAAGAAGAACATGTCGGCTGCTTAGGGCGTCGGACCGGCTGCTCCAACAGTCGGAGACCGTGTCCAGCAAAGTTTGATGACACAATATGTGATCAATTTGAGAGAAAGTGGAAATCGAGATATTATCGTTCATTGGGTTGATGCCCACGTTCCGGCACGTGATTTTCAGCGAATCGGGATGGTCATGGAAAGTGTTCGCAATTGCCAGGTCGTACGCCACACACGTTTCCAAGAGTAGTTGTCGATTTGACGCCTGTGCCATGTAATTCCCATTATGTTGCGCGCCGTGCTCGCCAGAGGAGTTCCGAGGAGCGGCATCGAAGACATGAGGCCCAACAATATGTTCTTCCCCAGCGCCTTGTCGCAGTAGCTTCGCATTAAAATCACCAAATGCTAGAGTTGTGCTATGTGCAGTGGTAGCCCGGATAACCTTCTGCAGCTCGTGGTGGAAAGATTGTCGCGTCTCGTAGTCGTGGCCGTTGTGAGGCGCATAAGCTGTAACCAAAGTCAGGATCCCACCTTTGATTCGCACTCGGAGAGAGAAGCTAACCTGTCAGAGCACGCTTTGAAAGCGACCGTAGCTGCCAGGATGTTCGGGCTGACCAAAAAGCCAACTCCAGCAAAGGTACGTGCATCCACATTCAAACTGCCAGAAATAAATGAAATAAATATCTTGAAACCATCTTTCATATAGTACTCTGCTCCGTGCAAATGTGATTCTTGAACACAAAGAACATGGAGGCTACGTTCAACCATGTGCTGGGTGAGCTCGTCTATCTTGATTGCAGAGTCCTTCTACGTTCCACGTGCCGATTCGCTCAATCCGACAAGGCGCGCAGAGCTGGCGGCGCGTATGCCAAACCAGCGTTTGGAGAGCCTGTGGAGACGGACGCTCCAAGATTGGGGAAGACGCCGAAACATGATTTGTACATTGATCCGGCAATTGTGGAGGAAGTCTCGACGATGTCGGCGTTGAAGTGCATGGTGAAACAGGCCTGTCAGATGCAGCATTGTCCTGGCCTGACAGAGCGGGCGCGTTGGGAGGCAGAGATGGTGGCGCGGCCTCTCAGCGCCTTTAAAAGACTCGCGCGACCCCGATTCGCTCCAGGGAGGAAGTAACTGTCATTGTGCTACGCGGGCGGGGAGGAAGGCGTAGCCCGAAGCGGGCGAGCTAATTAATTCCTAGCTCGTCGACGTCCTGCATCTGGCGCTCCGCTGAGCGCTCTGGCCACTCGTCGCTCGCTGTTCACGATCTTCAAACCCACGCTCGCTCAGGAGAGGGAAATAGAGAGAGAGAGGGAAAAGAAAGCAGTGAGAGGGAAAGAGAGAAAGAGAGAGCGAGATTGAGAACAAGAGAGAGAGAGAGAGAACATACAATATATACGCTCAAACAGAGAGAGAGAGAGAGAGAGAAAACAAAAAAAAAGAGAAGAGGTAAGAGAGAGAGAGAGAGAGACAGAGAGAAAAGAGAGACTCAACACATCTACACGAGGCTGGCGCCGGGCGCGGGCTGCGCGCGCTGCGCTCCTTTCGCCGCGGGGAGACCGTGTACCACGAGCCCGTTCTGGCGGGAAGCGGGAGATGAAGGGGGAGGAGGAGGAGGCTTTGTTTGAATGTGAACGCCTTTCTCCACCCAAGTACACGAGGACTGACGGCGGCCGGGACGCCAACATGCAGAGTAAAAACCCAAACATAGTCACCGGAGTCCCCGTCAGTCGCGGGCGCGAGTGGGCTTTGTTTCGAGGACCCTGGGAGATCCCTGATCTGATGAGGGCGGAAGTGGCATCCACGGGATCCGTGAGACCCCCACCAGCTTTACAGTCAACCCGCATGGCAAGGATGGGCAACTTTCCCAAGGGTATCCTTGAATCCTTGACCCTTTGGCCCATCCTTAGCGACTTTCGCTGGCCAGCCTGGTTCGAAACACTTTCGCGTGGGCCTCCCAGGCCATTGCATCCTTACCGCGCAACCTTCTGGTACGGGTTGACTGTAGACCCTGGATTCTTGATTCCATGGTTCCTTATCCAATTCCCTCACCGTACTGTTTCAAACACGCCTGCGGCTCCTCTCCCCGCCTGGCGGGGCCGCGGCCGCGCTGGCCCGGCTCGCCCAAAGGTGTTCGTGCAGGAGCCGTTCAATGCGCGAGCGGCTCAGCCGTAGGGGCCCCTTGCCTTCCCTCTACGGTCTCCCGCTTCCTCGTCCAGGGCCCTCCCCTCCCCCCCCCCCCCCTCGCCCTCCCCTCCCTCCTCCTCCTCCTTGCCCCCCTCCTTTTCTCCATCCTCATCATCCTGCCTCTACTCCGCCGCCGCAGCCCCACCTCCCCCACCCTCCATCCATCCCCCTCTCCCCTCCCTCCCCCCCTCCCCTCTCCCTCCCTCGCCTCCAGATCCTCCTCTCCTCACCTCTTCCCCCTCCACCTCCTTGCCGAGGCCCGAGTTCCTCTCCGCGAGCTTCCGTCTCTCCCGCCCCCCCCCTCTCCCTCTCTCTCTGTTTCTCCCGATCTCGCGGGCTGTCGTCTGCGTCCGGTCGCGGGCGGGGATCGACGGCCGGCATAAAAGGCCGCAGGCGCGCATATCAGCTCTGGGGCACGGCGGGCGCAGAGTCTCTTGAGGAGGGAAGCGGAGGAGGAGGAGGAGGAGGAGGAGGAGGAGGAGGAGGAGGAGGGGGAGGAGGAGGAGGGGGAGGAGGAGGATGAGGAGGAGGAGGAGGACGTGGAGGAGAAGGATGAGGAGGAGGAGGAGGAGGAGGAGGAGGAGGAGGAGGAGGAGGAGGAGGAGGAGGAGGAGGAGGGGGGGTCGAATAGGATGAGGAGGATGGGGAGGATGGGGAGAAGGGAGGAGGGGGACAAGGAATGAGTGGTCCAGAAGAGTCGGGGTGGTGAGGGGGTTAGGGCGGGAGGAGGCGGCAGGAGGAAAGAGAGCGGAGGGGGAGGAGGGAGGGGGGACGAGGGAGGGAGAGCGTGTTGGTAGGAAGCGGTGGCGGCGGACGGTGCTTTGGGTCGACCATTCTCAGTGGGTAGCGATGCCTCCTTACCCAACGGAGGCAGCTGAAAGAAGAGCGGGGTGACGGGGCGCGCCTCGAAGTTGAATGAGGAGGGCGGGGAAGAAGAGATAGGAGCGGGGGAGAAGGGGGAGGTGCTTGGGAGAGGTGGGGAGCGTCATGCCAGGGGCGACTGTGCGGTGATTTCGGTATTCTGACGCGCGGAGAGGAGGAAGGAGGGAGGAGGATGCAGACGAGGAGGAGAAGGACGAGGAGGAGGAGGATTGGGGAGCAAGGGGGCAGGAGGACCGACGGAGGATGAAGGCAGAATGAGGACTGATGCGCGATTGCTCAGGAAAGCGGAGAGATGCTGCAGGCCTGCTTGAAAGATGGAATGAAGCAGCAGGACGGATGACGAGGGAGTGAGGACGAAGGAGAAAGCTGGGACCCAGGGGGAGGAGAGGGCGGAGGAGAGACGATGGTGGAGGGAGGAAAGAGGAGGCATTGGGGAGGGATGGATGAAGACCCAAGCGAGGAAGTTCAATTCCTAATCCGCGAGTGCCGATCCTCCTTTTGATGAGGATTAACATTCGGAGGAGCAGGATCAGCAGCATCGGGTGGGGAGGCAGGGTGAGGTCGAAGAGGAGGAGGATGGGGTAAGACGAGGAAGAGGAGAACGAGGAAAAGGACGGCCAACCATGAGTATCAGGATTTGTTGACGTGTCGCCTATCCCTACCAGCCCATACAGGAACGATGCCTAGGGGAGCTGCCCCTATCAGGGGAGCGTGGCATTATTTGGATACCTCGGGGAGCCTCATTGATCAAGAGGCCTCTTAGATGCCTAACCGATCATCATCGGGAACCAAAGCAGACGCCAGCCAGGTGCGCCGCGCCCGCGAGGTGCGCCGCGCGTGCCAGGGCGCCCGCATCCTCGTCAGGTAACAATGCAAAGTGATGTCGGGGCGCCTGCGCCTGACCGTTGCCGACAAGTGCAGTTAGCTTTTTTGTGACAGGGATGATGAACCTGCGCGCGGCAGGCATTACGTTGCCCCCTTTCGCCCCTGCCAAACAACCATGCAACGAGACCATTCCGTGCCCACGCATGATACAGATGTTGCCGCAACGTGCGATTTGCAATGTTGTGTTGATAGGGGTGGTGTGGGGGACTTGTCATGGTTTCGGGTTCGCCGCTGGTCAAACAAGAGTGATATGTGATAAACCGCTTCCCGATGGGGAGGAAGGGGTTGGAAGAGGAAACGCCCTAAACCACCCACGCCCTAAAAGGCTTGTGGGATGTGTTGGAGGGGGGTTGCACGTCGATGGAAGGTGGAGTAGCAGCAAGACCATGAGTAGGAGCCAGAGGAGCAGGAGTGGGAGCTCCTCCTCCTCCTCCTCCTCCTCCTCCTCCTCCTCCTCTCACCTCTCCGCCCAGACACTTCCAGAACCTCCCAGAGCCTCTCAAGGCCACCCTTCCATTCCCCCTCCCCCCCCCCTCCCCTTCCATCCTTCCTCCTCCCGCTCCGCCCCACTGACACGGTGGCGTCCTCCGCCGCCCCTTGGCGTTTTGCCCCCTCTCCGTTCTTCATGGCCTCTCCTTGCCGGACCTGCCCCTGTGGCCCCTCCAAACCTCACAGCACCGACACCGTCGCGCAACGGACGCACCGCAGAGACCACGCAGACCCTTCGCCCGCCCCGAGAGCACCAGGAGGGGGCCCGCCCGCCAGAGCCCCAGCCCCGCCCCTCGCTGCCGCTTCAGGCGCGCGTCGCCCGCGTGCACGGGCCGACCGGGCACCTGAAGCCGTCGTCGTCGTCGCCGCCGCCGCCGTCGTTACCCTGCTCGTCGTTGTGGTCGTGGTCGCCGTTGCCGTGGTCGCAGTCGCCGTCGCCAGGCCGAAGGAGTGTCTCCTGAGACGGGTTCCCTCTGCCGACCCCGTATGGCCCATGCCCTGGTGGCCTAAGGACACCAAGCCGTGGGAACCAGGATGAGAACACTACTGGACATGGAAGTCTGCACCTTCTAGAAAGTCGTGTTGTCATACATGGCAGGTTGGCGGTGACATCGACCAGGCATATCACACGACGCGCGCACGCTTAGCCGACGCTGGCCAACTAATGGATTCACATTCTGCACCACGTGGAGCGCGTCTGGTCGGCGGCCCCTCCGTGTTCAAACCAGATTGAGATTTTCCAGTGGCCGTAAATTTGTGTTGCCGAGAATGAGTGTCGGCCCGTGCCAAGCTTTTCATGAGTGGCATCATCATCACTCAAACACCAGGCGAGTCCCAACTGCGCTCTAACAATGCTTCAAGGTTCCACGGAACCTTCGGCGCAGCGCACATCTGTGCGCCTCAGAGGATTCCAGAATGTCATGGGACCCTCGGCGCCGAGCGTATCCGCGCGTCTCACGCGGCATCACAGTGCCACACAACAGCGCTCCCCAATGACATCCGCACGTCTCACGAGATCTCGGAAGTGCCACGAAGCCTTCGGCACCGACCGCACCCGCGCGCCTCAGAGGCTTTGAAGTGTCACGAAACCCGCGGCGAACCCGCACTTCCCGGCGCTCGCGCGACCCGCGTGGGCGATGCGCCCGCGACCCGCAGGCACGACGAGAGTCGAGCAACAAAAAAACATTATTATCTATTTGTGGCGCTCCGCGCGAACTTCTTGGATCCGCGCCTGGGCCCCCCCCGCGGCGTCTCCGGCCCCGCCCTTGGCGCGCACCGCGCGCCATGAGGGGGAGTCCAGCGCGAATCCAAGAAATCCGCGCGGAGCGCCAAACGTTTATGTTTATATGGTTTATCTTCTTTCTAGGGAGGACGACGTCGGCACCATGCTGCCCATCTGCACGCACGCATGCAATTGCGCAATTGTAAAAGACTGCAACCACTCAACCAAACGGGCATGCAACCATGTAGAAGGGTGCACAGTACCGCCAGAAGCCCCACGAAGACGGCGCTAAGAACGCGGCTCCCGTTCGAGTGGGCCGCTGGACCGTCTTGAGGTCCTCTCGGGGCGTGTTCGGGCCAGTCATGGAGGTCTCTTGGGCCTCTAGGGCCCTTTGGGAGCCTTCTTGATGGTCTCTTGAGCAGTCTTGAGGACCTCGTGGGCCGTTTTGAACGGGCCTCTGCAGCGTCTTGGTACATCTGACGCCTTCGGAGGCCATCTTGGAGGCTTTTCTCGACCGTCTTGGATCCTCTTGGTGCGTTTTGAGGCCGTCATGCAGGTTTTTGGTGCCGTTTTGGGGCCTTCCTTCGCAATTATTGATAGCCTCTTGGGCTGTCTTGGAGGCCTCTTGAGCCATCTCGGAGGCCTTTGGAGTCATCTTGGGCTGTCGGAAGCATGTAAAGGGGGGAACGACAACTATGTGGAAACAGCGCAAAAAGGGAATACATGATTCTGGTTTCTCCGGGTCTCCTGGAGAGCTCTTGGAGCCCTCTCGGGCTGTATCGGAGCCTCTCTGGTTGTCTGTTTGAATCTCTCTTGACCGTGTGATGCCTTCGGAGGTCGTCTTTGGGGCCTCCCTGGGCTGTCGCGGGGCCTTCCTGAGGCGCTTTCGGGCCGTCTTGGAGGCCTCTTCGGCCGTCTTAGGGCCCTCTCTGGGCCGTCCTCGTGGCCGCTTGCGCCGTCTTGGGGCCCTCTCGGCCTGTCAAAGACCAGACAAGGCAGAGGCACGAACAGCACTGAGAACCACAAACAAGTCAACGATGTTGGTTTCTTCGGGCCGGCCTGGAGGACATCTTGGAGCCCTCTTGGGCAGTATGGGGTCTTCTTGGACCGTCTAGGAACAATCTAGGGCTGTATTCGCGGCATCTTGGACCGGCTTGGAGGCATGTTGATGTATCTGCCTTGGGGCCGCCTGGAAACCGAACAGAGCGCCAGAGAGCAAACGCATGGGGGGGATTTTCTGACCACGCGCAGGGGGAGGGGGCGGACCCTGGAACACATGAAAGAGACGTTGCCAGACAGCAGAGGAGCATCCTATTGCGCCCCAACGTGCACAAGGTACGGTGGCGGATTGAGTGAAGTCTCGTCCATGCTGCGGTAGGGTAAGCGTTGCGATTGCGATTCCCAATGCATTTTTTTGGTCGGAGGGCCCGATGCCCACGACTTCGCAAACGCATCCGTGTCGTGCAACGTCAGTGGCGGGCCTCATCACGGGCGCACGCGTCATACCAGGAATCTCTCTGCGGGGGCGGGGTCCTACCCCTGCTCGGCATTGCCTTCTTCTGAAGGCGATAGTTCCATGCCTCGCGCTTCCCATCCTCGCCCTAGTCCGCCTCTTCCGCCTCCTTCGCGTCCTCCACCTCCTCCCCCCCGTCATCGTTCCCCCCTCCTCCGCCTCCTCGTCCTCCTCCTCCTCCTCCGCCTCCGCCTCCTCATCCACCTCCTCCTCCTCCTCCTCCTCCTCTTCCTCCTCCTCCTCCTCCTCCTTCTCCTCCTCCTTCTCCTCCTCCTCCTCCTCCTCCTCCCCCTCCCATCCCCCTCGCCGTCCTCGTCCTCCTGGCCCCCGTCCTGCTCGTGCCTCCCGCTGCCACCCCCCCATCCCCAGGCTGCGGGGCCCTGCTGGGCGGAGACGTGGCTGACGTGGTCCGGGGCATGCTCGGCGCCGCATCCGAGCTCTCCAAGCCGGAGGAGCGGGGGCCCCTGGGCGGCGCCCGTGCGCGGCTCTCCCTCTTGGCGCGTTCGCGCGCTCGTCCTTGCCCGAAGGGTAACCCTCGACTGCGTCGCCTTGGCCCCCCGCGATGCGCCAGCGAAGGCCCCGCCAGGGAGGTCCTGCTGGGAAGAGCCCCATCGGAGGCTCGCAACCGCCCCCAGTCCCCCTCCTCCTCCTCCTCCTCCTCCTCCTCCACCTCCTCCTCCCCCTCCTCCTCCTCCTCCTCCTCCTCCTCCTACTCCCCCTCCTCCTCCTCTTCCTCCTCCTCCTCTTCCTCCTAGGCGTATCAATGCAGCTTGGGTTTCATTTAGATCTCTGGGCTCTGTCTGGCAACTGGATCTGCCGTGGAAGGTTAAACGTTTACTACTTCAGGGCTTCGCCTACAACTCTCTCCTGAGCGGCCTCGAGGCATTCGTGCTGGCCGTGTCCGACTACACTCGGCTGGAGGCCGCTCTTGCTCGATTCTGTCGTATCGCGATGGCTGGAAAGGCCACCGACTGGTCAGGAAGTCACCCGCACACGAAGACCAACGAAGAGCTTTTGAGATTTTAGAGGCTTTCGATTCCGTCCCTGGAGTTACGTATTCGGCGAGTTCGTTTAGTTCAGAATTGGGCCCGACGGCCTCTTCACCACCTTCAGGTTCTCTGTGCTCTGTTCGGGGAACTTCCAAAAGAACAAATGGGGCCTCTCGATGATTCGGGAGGTTTAAGTCCGTCTGCATGTCCCTGGGCCTTCCAGCTGCGTGCTGATCTTCAGAGCATTGCTCAGAAGCTGGACCAGGAGGTTTTTGATGAAGCCGCTCAGGACTTCAGGCTGCTGCTCGACGAGGCGACCGCCTGGTTCTTCGCAGGTGTGGATGTCTCTGCTTACAGATCGAGGCAGTACACCGTGGAGATTGCGCCCCCAGGTTTTGTATCGGTGCCACACGCGCCCCGTGACTTGGAAGAGACTTCTCCTGAAACAGGCGACGCCCCTCTACCTTGGAAATGCTGGCTCTCCTCCGAGGACAACCCCGCTGAGGCTTGTGGCATAATTTAGTAACCGCAGGGACCTCATGAATCACCTCAGGGGAACTCATGGGCTCAGAAATGTATGCTATGTTATTACACCCACAAACATATGTGTTCATTGCAGGCAAGTGATCGCATGCAAAGCAAACGCAGCCAAACATGTACTGGGATCTATGTTTCGTGGGCATTGTCAAACTGTGGGCCCCTCGGCTTTGAAAGAGCTGATCCCCGTGACCTCCTTCCAGTGCCCCGTTTGCGAGTTCGACGGCTCGAGCTTCAACGATTTCTGTGAACACTTGTGCACACATCTTCCTTGTCGGCCGCTCCCATACGTTGCTGATGTCCGAGAACGTGCAGCAGCAGCTGCCCGTGGAGCCTCTCTCGTGGTTCAGTGCTCCGACGGCCCAGACAGCCGGCGTGCAGCGTCCAGGCGAAGGAGGCGAGGGGGACCAGCCGTCACGCAGGCGCGCCGACAAAGAGAAGGGAGCAGGCGTGTCGAAGGCCAACGACAGGTTGACACTCTCCTTGGCTCGCGAGGCCGCGGATCTCAACAGCGCCTTGTACCTCAGGTACGAGATGCCCGACGCGTCGGTGGGCATGGCGGCAGCAGGCAAAGCAGCGGGGGTGAAGTACAACAATCACAGCGCCGAGATGAAGAAGCTCGAGAAAGAAAGCCACTCCGTCGACCACAAACTTCGAGGGCCCTCGCACGCACACGTGGCAAGGGCATGCATCATGCCCGGGTGCAGCAAGCAGTTCGCGGAGGGCGCTCCGCCAGACCACGTGAAGTTGCGCGACAAGATGAAGGAGTTTTACACCAACGAGATCTTCGCCAAGGGCATCACGGCGCAGAAGCTGGGCAGGGTGATCCCGTACTTCAGGGTGCAGGTGCTCAAGGCGACGGACGGCGAGAAGCCCAAGGCCATCATCTCCTGCCACTTCCACCGCGACCTCAACATCGGGCTCGCTCTCTCTCGCCAGCTCGAGGCGCTGATGGAGTTCGAAGGCGGGGTCTACTTAGCAGGCGCGGCCCCACGCGGGCCCTTGGAGCGTAAATTAGCGGAGGAGGTCGGACCGAGGGAGAAGCAGTAGTTCGCCCCAGTAGTTTTGACACATACATCGAATTAGAAATCGTTGATGACCCTAGGGAGGCGGACGGCCAGCTGGAGTTGCCAGTTGTCCCTCCACTTCCCACTGAGCCTCTCCAGGGAGAAACCAGTCAGCAGGCTCCACAGGGGGCCACTCGTTCCTGTTTTGTTTCCTCTTCCAGGACCAGGGAGGCCTTTTCAGGGAGCGAACGGTTTCGTGAGCTCGTGGCCCGTGGCAGTGTGGAGCCAACGGTACTTAATCGGCCCGCTTTGAGCACCTATGCCGCAGCGCCTCTCCCAGGTCCTCTTCCTATCAATCCGATAATATATGCCCCTAGAGCCAAGAAAGGCTCCAAAGTCAAGGGGAAGGGTCGGAGGTCGGGGAATGGGCTTGGGTGAGGGTCCCCGTGCCTTTGGAGCCTGCCTCCCTTGGGCTGCGTGCCCACTTTAGGGAGTGCAGGACGGCCAGTGCCGCTCTTAAGCGGAGCGCGCTGGCTGTATTGCGATGTCTGGGGGTGCAGAAGCTACCCGACTCAGAGTCCTCTATCTCTGAATGTAAGCCTGACACAGCATGTTATAGCAGTATGACAGGGGTGACGGCAGGACTCCACGAGCTATTCATTCAGTCATTCCTCCTCCTCCTCCTCCTCCTTCTCCTCCTCCTCCGCTTCCTCCTCCTCCCCCTCTCGCTCTCCTCCTCCTCCTCCTCCTCCTGCCCCTCCCCCTCCTCCTGCTCCGCCTCCTCCTACTCCGCCTCCTCCTCCTCTTCCTCCTCCTCCTCCTCTTCGTCCTCCTCCCCCCCCCTCCTCTTCATCCCTCTTCCTCCGGCGGCGGGCGCGGGTCCCCGAAGCGTCAGGAGCACAATGAGCGGGAGCCTGAATGCGTGCCCAGCTCCCCCACTCTCCTGCCTGCGGGGTGGTGCCGTCGTCCCTCCCCTCCTCCGCCGTCCTGCGTTGTTTCTCAGTCTGCTCTCTCTCGTGCTCGTCCGTCGGGCTGTCGCCCAGCGTTCGCCGTCATCCCCTTCTCGCGGCTGTCGCTCCCTGGCGCTCGTTCTCCTCCCCCCCGTCTCGGGGCCCGTCCTGGACTCTGGGTGTCGCTCCCTCATCTGCTCCCTGCTGCCGTTGCTCTCCCGGGTCGTCCACCTTGCTGGCCATTGTGTCGAGTGGGCGTTGCATGAAGGGACGCTTTAGACATGCCGTGCCCATGGATTGTTGCCGCGTTTTGCCTGGCGTCGCATTGTTTCTCGGCCGCGACATTTCTTGTCTCACCGTTTTGCCATGCACCTTTGCCGTGCACGGCTACTCTCTCTCTCTCTCTCTGTCTCCTTCTCACTATCAGGCATGTCTCTGACACGATGCCTGGAAGCAACCAGAGATTGTCCCACGTGTCGTTGCCCGTTATCGGCTCTAATGTGCCCGTCTTTCACCAGTAAGCGATTTTGTCGCGCAGTCTGACTGCACGGAAACGCGTATTCTCAAGTCGGGCCTGTCCCCCTACGGGAGGAATATTCCAAACCAGTCGAAGCATTGGCTTGGGGACGATGTTTTGAATAGTCCTGAGCATGTTTCAGTTATTGTTCGATTAAAAAAATCGCTTCAAAAAATCGCCTCAACTCCGCCTGTAGTGGGGCATGCCCGAATGAAGCGTATTCTGATGAATACCTTCTTCCACGAATGAGCACCTTGCTGCCCTGCTGGGCCCGCCAGGTGGAGGGAGCCCTGATGATGCGCAGGAGCAGCGTCCTCCACGGTGCTGGCCCACCGGGCGTGCCCCGAGCTCACCGATTTGGACGTGGCAAGGATTGAGCCAAAAGGCTACACACAGTTCATTCCTAAGTCCTCGGAAGGTCTCTGATTTTTTTTTGGGGGGGGGCAAGATCCTCTCATTTCTAATTGTGCTATCCTGGGCCTCTTCCTGGCCACTAGGGGGTCAGGAACACTTGGAAACGAGCAGAATTAGAAATGAGCACAATTAGAAATGAACAGCGTGTACGGAGGCTCAGTAGTGTGGAATGGTGAGGGGGAACCTGCAACTGGTGGTGTTTGGGCCTTGACTACCACCACACACCTCTGGGGATTCAGAAACTGGACTCGACCTCATCTATGCATCGATGCATTACGTGTGGCTGGGGGAGGGCTCATCCCTGAAACCGGTCCGACTCCGACACCGAATTGGATTGTCTCATGCTCTGGCTCTGAACACTGCTACGCTCAAGGCCGCGACTGCTATCACCGTGCCTCTCGGGCGATGCTGCACCGGCAGGTGGGACCGCAAAGTTGGCCTCAAAGGCCGACGCATCCTCCCCCTCAAAATCAAACAGCTCAGTTCCTCCCCAGGAGCGTCCGTCCGTGTCGATCTCCGAAGGGGTCGAACCAAAAACGTCAGGATCAGTTCGGGACTCGAGGTGGTTCCCAAATAGGTGAGAGTACTGCTAAGTTCGTTTTGCTGCAGCCGACGCTCTAGAAGCAGCGCTATCCCGGTTTGCCCTGGAGGCCTCAGACTTTGGCGTCGCCTGACGTTCAGGCCTAGACACCTGTGGGAGACGACTCGCGCGCCCAAGCTGCCTTGTCAGAAGCCGTGCGCCCGAGCTCTTGATGACGAAGGAGAGGCCGATGTGCGGCCTCCACAGGGGCGTCCAGCACGGGCTCCAGCTTGACGATGTGCGGCAGCGCTGTCTCAGAGACGATCGCGCAGTCCAGCATGCTCCCCTTCTTGCCAGCATCTCGCGTGTGCTCCCCCCTGGTGGTAAAAGGAGTGTGGTAGAAGGAGTCGACGTTACACGCCGGTCGTTGAAAGTTGGTATTTTTGGACTCCCAGATCCCGATCTAGTTCAAGCGCCTTCCTACTTCAAGAATCGGCATGAGTTTGCGGTGTTTTGTTGTTCTCTGGGAGGGCCTGGACCCAATCCACTTTGTCCGCCTTCCTACTTTATTTTTTTTACCTTCTTCTTCCGACCGACGTGTACACCTGGCGGACAAATCCAGACTTGGACAGCACGTCTGGCTCCTTGTTCCAGTCGTCAGCCACTCTCCTCCTTCGCTGGAACGCTCCGAAGATGCACCTTTGTTGCCCGAGGAAGGGACGAGCATCATTGGCAACCAACCGTTATTTTTTTAGACTCGCCGTAGCATCCCACGTGCGCAATTGACTCTGGGGAGCATGAGTCTCAACGCATCCCACATTGTGATGCGACGCTGGAAGATCTAATAGGTGCGACCACGCACCATCACACATGAGCGTAGCGTTAGTGAGCCATATCACCCAGATCCATTGAAGACAAGAATAGGTGCTTCGACGTGCGGCTCCTGATGGCGATGCTGATCACCGAGCTCGGCGCGAGGCACTAACCTTCAAGCCGTGGACGGTGAGGCTGCACCGGCTGACGTATGGACCGATGTCGGCGTAGCTGCGTAACCCTGGCCCGCGCCCTTGCCGTCCGAGGCCGCCGCCTGCTGCTGCGCAGCCTTCTTCGCCGCCGCAGACTCGGCCGCCGAAACCCTGGCGCCGCCTCCTTTAGCGCCTGCGCATCTGCAGCCGTCGCTGCCGATGCCGAAGCCGCCGATGCCGCCTTCTCGGACTCGCCCTCTTCCTTGGCGCCGACATCGTGGCCGGTTCCTGGGGCCCTGGCGGCAGCCGTATCAGCGCCACCCTCCTCGTTGGCGCGCTCCTTCTGGGCGGCGAGCCGCGAGTCGATGTTCTGTTTGCCCCTCGCGGCCTTGTCCATCCAAGTCTTGAACTCCGCGCTCTTGGGCTGGACAGATTCCTGGATCCTGGGTGAGTGTGTGTGGATCTGGCAAAGGTACTTCTCTGCTTCCTCGCACTCCAAACCATTAATATCGCTGAGAATGCTGGAGTCCCGTATTACCGAACATGCTTCGTCCGATGCGGGCACATCACTTTAGCGTCCTGACTCCAGCTCCGACTCCTTCCGCTTTGGCGAGCGCCTCCGCAGGCCTCGTTTGGGCCATTGTGGCGACGCGAAGGACTCCGCCGAAGTCTTTTCCTTGGCCGTCGCCGTGTCCAGGGCTAGCTGGAGCCTGCGATCTTTGGCCAGAGCCTGATCATGCTTGTGGTTACAGACCCTCCAGTGACTGTCCGCCATTGGTGGATGGCCGCTGCTCTGGGAAATCATGCGCCCGACTTGGATTGCTTCTGAAGGGCGTCGTTCCTCCTCCTTAGCATGTTCTTGAGCTCGGGAAAGGAGGAGGAGGAGGAGGAGGAGGAAGAGGAGGAGGAGGAGGAGGAGGAGGAGGAGGAGGAGGAGGAGGAGAGAGGGATTGCGTAGCTCCCAGGAGTGGTGGCCGGAATGAGTGGCTTCGGTTGAGGCCGCCTCCGGGAGCTGGTCCTCACGGAGGGAGGGGGACGTCAGTGGGGTGTCTTCGGAAGGGGTGAGGTGTCGGATGGGGGGCCTCGGTGGGGGGGAGATGGAGACGGCCAGCCAGGTGCGGTCGCGCCAGGTCTGACATCCTACCCTTCCCACCCATCGGTTCTTTTTGAAATGAATGCTATGTTATCCGCCTGCCGGAGTGTCTTAAATGACGTTGAGCCAGCCCCGCAGTAACCCCATCGCGTGAGGCGTAGTGTCAAAAGTGGAGTGTCGTACATCAGACGTGGATGGGGATATGGCGAATAAGCAGGATCATAGACATGAGGATGACACGGATAATGAAGCAGGCAAGTCCTCAAGTAAGGCCCGCGCTGTGGCGAGAGCGTGAATTTGAAGTAAGGGATCAACATGCCGAGGCCCGGCGCAGCACAGTTTAAGAGCAGAGGTGGCACATTAGTTGCGTAGTTGTAGATCGAAGGGAGGACGTGGCTCAAGGCGCCCAGGCCTTGGCACCACCCCTCCCCCTCTCCCCTCCCCTCCCCCTTCTCCCCTCCCCTCTCCCTCCTCAGGGGCGCCCAAAGGAGAGGACGGGTCCAGGGTGGGAAGCATGGACTCCGATCGCCCACTCCTCGCGGGTAGGAGCCTGGTTGCCCCAGCCCGCTCAGGCACGCGGGACATCCCCATGGGGGGGACCACTGGTGATGTGTCGTCGATTCCAGGTCACTGTTCCCCGCCGCGAGCCCCCCCCCCCAGACATCCGACGTCGTAGTGTCTGTCGCAGCATGGCCCCGTCCCA